TTAAATAACACTGCACCCACCCACTAAGAACACCGAATGTGTCACACTCCTCTGTGTCATGCTTTTAAAAATATCTTCACTGACGGGCCCTCTTTTTTAAAAATTGTATTTATATTTTTGAACGTCTAACTCTGCCAGGTGGAAAATGTTTGCATCAGAGCCCAAGCAGGGGCTGGTGATGGATGTCTGCTTGTTTTACGTTAAATGGGAGGAAAGGAACAAAAAAAGTTTGCAATTACATGTTCCTCACAAAGAGGTGGGGCCGCTGGCAGAGAGAGCAGCCTTAACCTAAACCGCATAGACAGATGCAAAGGGAGGTGGCTTTTGTGGCCAGTGGAAATATACAAACAGGGGCAGCCTGAAGCTGAGATTTTATAGGAGTGAAGGGATTACAGGCTGAACGAAAGGCTGGAGGATTTGGTTCTCCTGAGGGCTTCCACTTTGTGTTGTTCATTTTGCCCAGCCCTGTGGAAGAACTTGGCAGCAGAATTTGAAATGAGAGACAGGCCTCGGTGATGGGGTTAGAGCCCAGTACCAGTTTGAATCTGGATCCCATTCTAAGAGATGTCTATGGTTCTGAACTCCCCCAGGGTCAGATACCATGTGCCTATTTGACCTCATCATCTTGCTACATAAAGCCAGGCTGGACTCAACTATGGTGGAATGAAAACAAGAGCACCACTCCACTGAATGCATCCGATGAAGTGAGCTGTAGCTCATGAAAGCTTATGCTCAAATAAATTTGTTGGTCTCTAAGGTGCCACAAGTCCTCCTTTTCTTTTTGCGGATACAGACTAACATGGCTGCTACTCTGAAACCACTCCAGACAGTCACAGGATGACCACTCAGTGTGTTCAGTTTCCCACTAACAGTTTGCTGCCCCTTTCCTGACAGGTCTCCCTGAAACCCTGCTTGTCATCATCAAAGACTTATTTTTAAATTGCCATTTCCCCCCAAAAAATTTACAAAAGCAACATTTAAATGTTACATTTCAATTAGCAAAACATGCAGCTCATTTTCTATCTGAAAACAATGCAATAAATGCATTTATTCTTGAATTGTTAATGCAATGTAATTCAATTCAATTAGGCTGTTATTGATGCATTAAACGCAAATTGAGATGGTACACTCTTAGGGGCAGGTACTGTCTCCTTCTATGTATGTGCTTAGCACAATGGGGGTCCCACTACCCTAGGCATACAAATAATTAATACTATTCACCTTTTTCTTAGGTGAATATGAAAGACAACAGGGCTCAAGAACTGTCATCTTAGCAACTGTCTTAACAAGAGTCATTATTTACTGCCTCTGTTGAACACCCCTCTTTCTCCTTTTCTCAGTGGTCATAGCAGCCACAATACCATCCTGTGGCACTGTCCAAGTCAAATCCTGCAAAGCCTGTCATTCAGGCCAAAATTATATGGCTAGGTAGGCACAAAAGCCAGCAGAGTTTCATATAAGACTAGACTGGGCCTCACAAACTGTTCACAGAACCTCCAAGCAACAAGGTTTTATTGTTCCCTGCTCTCGCTAGAGGTGACACATTCCATCTCCAGGGCAGATTTAGTTCTTGGGCTTTCATAGGGGTGGGAACTGTGGGTATGTCTGCATAAAAGATAAAAGGCCATGGATAAAAGATCCATGGCATGGCCATGGCTGGCCCGGGTCAGCTGACTCGGGCTCACGGGGCTTGGATTGCGGGGCTAAAAAAATCACTGTGTAGACATTCAGGTTCAGGGTGGAGCCCAGGATCTGGGTCTCTCCACTCTCACAGGGTCCCAGAGTTCAGGCTTCAGCTCAAACCTGAGGATCTACATGGTGATTTTTCAGCCGCCAAGACCAAGCCCCATGAGCCTAATTCAGCTGACCCAGGCCAGCAGCGGGTTCTCCCTGCATAGACAGACACCACAAAACTGCCATCACAGGCTATAAGATATCCCAGGCATGCTGTGAACTACAAGGCCGGTATTCCATTATGTTAATCCTGGAGACTGCCTAGGGCAGCATTTTTATATGCAGCAATGACTTTAAAGTGACATAATGGGATTGTTTGGGATTGCCGAAGGAGGTGGGAAAGAGAAAGGCTGCGTTATCAGAATAGCCTCTCTTCCAACGCCTGCTGTAATTGCTGCACTAATTTCATTGTGTTGAATTTGACTTTCCAGGCCAGCCTGCCAGATGCTTCTGGCTTTGCTATTACCTCCAAACACGACCACAATGGGCAGTAAAAGTGACGTAGTTCTTATTCTGCCATAGAGGGTTCTCTGCACTGAGTCTGTTCATTGCAGCTTCATGGAGCGTGTTTGCATTCCAGCCAAGTGCCAGCCCTCAAGGGCTGAACTGGGAATTTGGGGTCCCATTCACTAATGTGCTATGTATCATTGCTGTCTGTTTGCCACAGGTGCTTCTAGACCCGCCTCAGTCAAATGACAGTGCTCTGCCTCGGTAGCTATCAGGTACATACCCAGAGGGGAACGCAGCTAGGCAGCATTGACTGTCTTGTGGTCAAGGCCCGGGAGGTCAGGGCTTGTGTGCGACTTAATCTCTTTGGTTCTCAGTTCTCCCTCTAGAAAATATGAAGAGTAATGCTTCCTCCGTCTGTCCTCTCTGTACAGACTCTAAGGGTACGTCTACACTGCACAGACAAACCCACAGCTGTGAGTCTCAGAGCCTGGGTCAGTTGACTTGGGCTCGCAGGGCTCAGGCTGCAGGCTAAAAAAGAGCAGTGTTAATGTTCAAGCACAGACTGAAGGGAGATCATAAACACACATCAGGTTTCCTTCAGGGCAAGGACTGTCTCTCAGCCCATAGCACAAAGGGGCCCGCAGGCATTACTGAAATGCAAATAACGAATATGAATATTTGTCATTTCTTCACTGTCCAGTTGGGCCCATAAGACAAAATCCTAGTGATGGCTGGCATTGTGTTAAACAAATGTTTCCCTTGGTATATTTCATGATTTGGCACCTCCATGTGCAGCTAGAGATGAACTTCTGCCTACCACGAGAAGGAGGTTTTTATCCCAAGAGGTACAGACAAGCATTCAGATTCCATGTGCCTGTCTACATATCCCGTTATCCCTCTGTCTCGGGGCACTGGTGCCCAGAACACACACTGTATGTAGCTCGGTTATTCCTGGCAGTGTGGAAACCATACGGGCCGCCCAGACAAGCAGAGTTTAAGATGTTCCCACTGTGTGATTGCATTGTAAAGACAGATTAATAACCAGTACGTAGTAAAATGGCAAAGTCACTTTAGCACCAAGGAAATGTATTGGGCTGACACCCTGGGGAGAATGGCACTCTCTTACTGAGCCATAGGCTGCAGCACAGGCGATAGCAAGGAAGCTTAGGCACTGTGCCTAAAACCTGCTTCACTGCAGGCTCGAAAAGACCGCCTCGAAGGAGGAGGGTGGAGTTCCAGCTCCCTGGACCATTGAACCCTTGGTTTCGGGCAAGAAAGGCAGGGGAGCCAATTAGTGTGACTGGCAGTGGTGAGATTTCTACTTTGGGCACCTCTCCACCATTAAGACTTCCAAAGCCACCCAATTGCCATCAGCTGCATAATAACTTCTGGGCAAGCTCTGTAGAGGATGGCTGATTTAAACCTGTAAATGGCTCTGTTACAGAACATACTTAGAAGTCCCAAGATACTCTAGGAAACATGACCAGGTCTTTACTGCTCTCATGAAATGTAACAGATTGGCACTGAAATGCATAATGTATGCCAACGCAATTGACAGCACAAACCCTGGACTGAGTTCCTCACTGGTATCAATCAGGATCTTTCTGGTGCTTAATTTAATTTGATTTCTCCTTTTCTCTTTAAGTTCCATGATTTTTGGCTGGTGCGCTTTTGGAGTCAATTAGAGGTTGCTGGAAAAGCATTACTTTGTAGTCCCCCACAAATGCAATTATCATCCCTTTTTTAATTATTCCTTTTAAAAACTGCATGTAGTGGCTTCTGTCACTAGATGTTACTTTATATTTAAAAAATTTAAAAAAACATTTGCAAGATTAGTTAGTCAAAAAACATCACTATCTTTTTCCTCTTACACTGATTTCCCCCATACATATCAGTCTTAATGGGTTTCATTTTTGCCCCTTGCAAACTTCTCCTGCACATCGCAACCAATTTGTTTACACCCTCACTTCTAGAGACAAGAGGTCTATGGTCCTTTCACACTATTGCCTCCCCTGGTGAGAAGATTTTGCTAATGGTGCTGTAGCTACCTATCCACAAGGAAATATGCTCAGACCACTTGAAACCAGGGATATGATAAAAATATGAGTGTGAAGTTTAGCTCTTACTTATGTGATTATGGTGTTCAGTTCCCCTGTATTACGCTTTCCAGCATACAAAAGCTCAGCCATCCAGCTTCAGTCTAAACCCGCTTTTATTCTATATTGAGAAAAGCAACAAAGAAGAAAGAAGTAAAGTATCCATGAGAGCGCCCAATGTGTGTCTCTCTTCTGTAAGTCTGCAGCAGATCTGAGGACAAAATGGCTGCACTTACAAATGTAAAGATGCAGAGCACGAAACAACAAAAGGCATCACAAGTATCCTAGCTATATACATTGACACTTGCTGTATGGAGACCTGCTTTCAACATTTCTAGGAAGACTCCTAAAACTCAAAAAGAAAAGGAGTACTTGTGGCACCTTAGAGACTAACCAATTTATTTGAGCATGAGCTTTCGTGAGCCACAGCTCACTTCATCAGATGTGTACCGTGGAAACTGCAGCAGACTTTATATACACACAGAGAATATGAAACAATACCTCCTCCCACCCCACTGTCCTGCTGGTAATAGCTTATCTAAAGTGATCAGCAGGTGGGCCATTTCCAGCACAAATCCAGGTTTTCTCACCCTCCACCCCCCCACACACAAATTCACTCTCCTGCTGGTGCTAGCCCATCCAAAGTGACAACTCTTTACATAATCAAGTCGGGCTATTTCCTGCATAGATCCAGGTTTTCTCACTTCCCCCCCCACTCCCATACACACACAAACTCACTCTCCTGCTGGTAATAGCTCATCTAAACTGACCACTCTCCAAGTTTAAATCCAAGTTAAACCAGAATATCTGGGGGGGGGGGGTAGGAAAAAACAAGAGGAAACAGGCTACCTTGCATAATGACTTAGCCACTCCCAGTCTCTATTTAAGCCTAAATTAATAGTATCCAATTTGCAAATGAATTCCAATTCAGCAGTTTCTCGCTGGAGTATGGATTTGAAGTTTTTTTGTTTTAAGATAGCGACCTTCATGTCTGTGATTGCGTGACCAGAGAGATTGAAGTGTTCTCCGACTGGTTTATGAATGTTATAATTCTTGACATCTGATTTGTGTCCATTTATTCTTTTACGTAGAGACTGTCCAGTTTGACCAATGTACATGGCAGAGGGGCATTGCTGGCACATGATGGCATATATCACATTGGTAGATGTGCAGGTGAACGAGCCTCTGATAGTGTGGCTGATGTCATTAGGCCCTGTGATGGTGTCCCCTGAATAGATATGTGGGCACAATTGGCAACGGGCTTTGTTGCAAGGATAAGTTCCTGGGTTAGTGGTTCTGTTGTGTGGTATGTGGTTGTTGGTGAGTATTTGCTTTAGGTTGCGGGGCTGTCTGTAGGCAAGGACTGGCCTGTCTCCCAAGACTTGTGAGAGTGTTGGGTCATCCTTTAGGATAGGTTGTAGATCCTTAATAATGCGTTGGAGGGGTTTTAGTTGGGGGCTGAAGGTGACCGCTAGTGGCGTTCTGTTATTTTCTTTGTTAGGCCTGTCCTGTAGTAGGTAACTTCTGGGAACTCTTCTGGCTCTATCAATCTGTTTCTTTACTTCTGCAGGTGGGTATTGTAGTTGTAAGAAAGCTTGACAGAGATCTTGTAGGTGTTTGTCTCTGTCTGAGGGGTTGGAGCAAATGCGGTTGTATCGCAGAGCTTGGCTGTAGACGATGGATCGTGTGGTGTGGTCAGGGTGAAAGCTGGAGGCATGCAGGTAGGAATAGCGGTCAGTAGGTTTCCGGTATAGGGTGGTGTTTATGTGGCCATTGTTTATTAGCACTGTAGTGTCCAGGAAGTGGATCTCTTGTGTGGACTGGACCAGGCTGAGGTTGGTGGTGGGATGGAAATTGTTGAAATCACGGTGGAATTCCTCAAGGGCTTCTTTTCCATGGGTCCAGATGATGAAGATGTCATCAATATAGCGCAAGTAGAGTAGGGGCTTTAGGGGACGAGAGCTGAGGAAGCGTTGTTCTAAATCAGCCATAAAAATGTTGGCATACTGTGGGGCCATGCGGGTACCCATAGCAGTGCCGCTGATTTGAAGGTATACATTGTCCCCAAATGTGAAATAGTTATGGGTAAGGACAAAGTCACAAAGTTCAGCCACCAGGTGAGCCGTGACATTATCGGGGATAGTGTTCCTGACGGCCTGTAGTCCATCTTTGTGTGGAATGTTGGTGTAGAGGGCTTCTACATCCATAGTGGCCAGGATGGTGTTATCAGGAAGATCACCGATGGATTGAAGTTTCCTCAGGAAGTCAGTGGTGTCTCGAAGGTAGCTGGGAGTGCTGGTAGCGTAGGGCCTGAGGAGGGAGTCTACATAGCCAGACAATCCTGCTGTCAGGGTGCCAATGCCTGAGATGATGGGGCGCCCAGGATTTCCAGGTTTATGGATCTTGGGTAGTAGATAGAATATCCCAGGTCGGGGTTCCAGGGGTGTGTCTGTGCGGATTTGATCTTGTGCTTTTTCAGGAAGTTTCTTGAGAAAATGCTGTAGTTGCTTTTGGTAACTCTCAGTGGGATCATAGGGTAATGGCTTGTAGAAACTCGTGTTGGAGAGCTGCCGAGCAGCCTCTTGTTCATATTCCGACCTATTCATGATGACAACAGCACCTCCTTTGTCAGCCTTTTTGATTATGATGTCAGAGTTGTTTCTGAGGCTGTGGATGGCATTGCGTTCCGCATGGCTGAGGTTATGGGGCAAGTGATGCTGCTTTTCCACAATTTCAGCCCGTGCACGTCGGCGGAAGCACTCTATGTAGAAGTCCAGTCTGCTGTTTCGACCTTCAGGAGGAGTCCATCTAGAATCCCTCTTTCTGTAGTGTTGGCAGGGAGACCTCTGTGGATTAGTATGTTGTTCAGAGGTATTTTGGAAATATTCCTTGAGACGGAGACGTCGAAAATAGGATTCTAGGTCACCACAGAACTGTATCATGTTCGTGCTTAAGGCACTGAAGCTACTTTCATAACAAGCCTTCTCCGCCTTTTCCAGTCAGGTAAAAATGCCTCGTGACTTGGACAGTGTCATTTCTGTCATCTATTCAACCTTAATTTAATTGTGCAGAAAAATGGTTTCAGGTTTTGTTTTGTTTTGTTTTTCCATGAGGTGATGAGGATAAAAACAGTTCAGCAGAAGGCCTTAAGCGCTGAACCTTTCCACATTTTTTCCCATTCCCTATTTCTTCCACAACAGGAGGCTGAGCCATCAAATCAAATTTCTGACCTAATGCATGGCTGCTGCAGGATAGGAAAAAAGCAACCGAGCGCTGTATAGAATTGCCATGTTGTCGCTGTCGGGAGACTCGGCTGCAGACTAATTTGGTGCAGCTTCCTGTTTTTCTATAGCCAACTCTGAAGAGAAACAGCGGAGAAGCTAATATGAGCTTCTCAAGGCATTGACTTGCTGCTGTTGTGTTTTTCAACTGACAGACCCAATTCAACAGAGGCCTGACTATGCTTCCAGCATCAGCCACAGCCAAGGGACATGGTTAATGTCAAACGTGACGCACTTTGTTTACTGTGAGGTTGCAGTTACACAATGTACCGCTTGGTATTTCCAACTGAAGTCCCGGCCATGGCCTTTTTTCATTGTTTTTTGGGCAAGTGTTTGGCTTTTCAGGCCTTCGTGGACCTTGGTTAATCAGCCATAGTTCGTGTAACTCCCTAAGGGCTGCAACGGAACATCACTTTAATCTCTTCAGGCTTAGGAGAATCACAATCTACTAAGACATGAACCTGATGTCTGAAAACTAATTGCATCCCTAGCCTTTAAATACGATGATGACATTTCTTAATTAACTCCTCCAGGCCTCTGCCAATTTAGACTAAAAGAAGCAAAGAGGTAGATTCCACCCCCTTTCCCCTCCCCAATGCAAGGATACTAGCACTTATTAAGCCATTTAATTAGTCATGATGCAGTTTGGGTGGTAGGGCTCATTTCACTGTAACTTGCATCTCAAACATCAGCATCAGTTGAAGTAAATGGAGTCGTACGGGGTAAGACAGAGAGGAGAACTGAGTCTTCTGTGTATTAATAACCCTTCACTGTGCATTCAGTTTGCCCAATTGCTCCCCATTATTGCAAATGCACACCTTGCAAAGTGCTATTGGAAACACCAGATGGGCAGAATTCCATACACACAGCACAGCTGTAGACAGGACTGTCCTATTGTGAAAAGGTCATATAATGTGACTGATTTAATCTAGCGCATTGTTTGCTAAGGGAGCAATATTATACAGGCGAGGAAGGCCCTGATTAACTGGTCTGGCCAAGGTACACTTGGCACAGGGTTGAGGGCGGTAAAGTTGTACCACTTTCATGTGTCTCCAATTCTGGGGCCAGCCAGGGGTCAATCTAGTCTGCAGTATAACTTAGAGTAGCCTCAGGACTTCCTATATCCTACACCCAGCTGCCTATAGCCCCAGTGGGCCATTCTTGCAGCCAAAGCACAGCAGAACTGTAGCCATGCCTCCTTTTCTCCAGCCCCACACTAGCAGTTGTAAATGTAACTCAAGAGCTTCCTCCTGCAGGACCTGACTTTGTTTCTCCAGGGGAGGGGCAGAGAAGCATCGTGAAGGGGACATAGCTCTTAGCTGGATGTTCTACGTCTCAGATAGAAGGGGCCTGAAACATCCCAAACGTCTCTTTGAAACTGACGGGGGACTATTCCCCATCTACTTATCGCAGTTTTACATACAAGAGCCTATAGGTCTTACCTTGTGTAATACTTTCGGAAAAGTCCTGAAAAGATTGAACTCTGGCCTATTCTTCAGCAAAGCGCTAAGCTGAAATGCAGGAAGAAGGGAAGTGTTTAGTTATGCAGAATACTGAGTATCCCCTGCCCCACATTGCCCAAGGAGGGACAGCAAAGCCCCTCTATCCCACCAGGGATTTCCTTTTGGTGGAGCGAATTCCACAATGCACAGATCCTCCAGCTTCGTGGCCCCTTTCCACAGGCTTCTTTTCACTTTCTGCATCAACAGTGACAACGCTAAAATTACACTGCATTGCCCATTTCATGGGAAGATCTCAGAGTGTTTTACAGATGGGGAACCTAAGACACAGAATGGGAGCTAGAACCCAAGTCTCCTAACCTGCAGGTGTGTGCTCAGACTAGAACGTGCTACATCATCTATTCAAGAGATGGTTAAGAGGAGGTTTGATCATGGTCTATAAGTTCGTATGCGAGGAGAAGAGTTCCCATAGCAGAGGGTTCTTTAATCTAGCGAACAAAGGCATAACGAGCCCCAGTGGTTGGAAGCTGAGCCTAGACCAATTTGGACTAAAATATGGAACATATTTTTAACTCTGAGGGTAATTAACCACTGGAACAAGTTAAGAAGAGGTGTAGTGGATTCTCCACCATCTCAATCTTTAAATCAAGACTTGGTGTCTTTCTACAAGATCTGCTCTAGTGAAGCCAGAAGTTACAGACTTGAAGCAGGAATCAGTGGATGAAATCCCCTGGCCTGTATTATGCAGGAGGTCAGACTCAGGGATCATAATGTCTCCTTCTCTCCTTAAAATCTCTGAAGCTGTGAAAGGCCTCCTTTAAAACATGCTTCCTCTGGGAAGCTTGCCTGAGATGCCTTGTCCAAAATCTCTGTACACCCTCCCATCATTCAATACATTAGTCTGTGTGAACAACCATGTAAGTAGCTTCTAGCCGGGGCCTTGTCTTCTGTAACAAGCATGTGGTCGGTACTTAATCAGTAATAGGGGTAAGGCCATGCATATGATGGAGACCCCTGCCAGACTGTCTGCTCCCCGCACCGGGCATAGCCACGTACAGCAGATGCTTACTCCTAGCATGTCTGTGTGGGAGGAGCTGAAAAACCATGTTCCTACCCCATGTTAGTGAAGAAATGCAGTGCTGCCAGCTGGTTCCATCAGTAGCACAATAGCCACAGTTTAATATTATATGACACTGCTGCAGCTTGGGACTTCAAAGGGGACAGGATCATTGGCTAACTGGATTTCTGTTCTCAATTAGGGCCGAGGGAAAGCCAAATCCAAGGCTGACATAGAAAGCTTTAACCATCTGTAACAACAAGTGGGTAATTTATGACCAATCCATCGAGTCGTTTGTAATCTGAATGTAGGCTTTTACCTCAAGATGCCTACCTTTTCCCATATGTGCATGGATTTGTTTTGCAAAATAAAGGAATGCAGAAGTTTTCAAAGTAAAATGTCCATTCCCGCTCCCCCATTACAATTATGAAGATGGTACCTGGGAGGATTTGGGTTTCAGAAAGTGAGCGCCAATCTCTTCCTGCTTTGCGATGGAAATTGGACATTTAACAGCAGGCGTGATTATTATTTTATATATATTTGTGGTGGGGATGGAACTCTCTGCAGCTCAGTTGAGAAACTCCAATCGGTTTCACCTTCAAATCAAACCAAGATTTGAAACTAGCAAGCAGGTGAAATATAAAATTGGTGTTGGCCACATGTTGCAAATCAGAGGCTAATTAATCCAGCCAAAGATTTGGAGTCGATGTTCAAGCATTTCCACATGACATTCAAGAAAGCAGCTAACCCTGGAAACCCTGGAAAAAAAATTAGGAACCAATTGATAGGAATTCAGATATCAGCCATTGGATTTCCCCCATCATATCATGACATAATACAAACCAGCATATAGCAGATTTCAGTAACAACATGGGAGGGGAGAAGTAATTCTTTGTCATTTGGGCAGGAGACATCATGCTGGCAAGTCTGCCCTTCTATTAGAGGATCTCAAAACACTTAACCAACATTAAGGGCTAAATTTTGGCCTTAAACCACCTTCCTGTACTGGAGGCAGTATGGCACTGCCAAAGAATGCTACAATTAGAATGCTACAGTGGGTGCACTCCCCTCCGTCACCACTGGCTAGTAAGGATGGAGATGCGGCTAAGGCCCTACCGTCTCTTTGGGATGGGTAGTGTGTCTAGCAGCTCTAGCCAAGGGGCTACCAACACTGGATGTGTGGTCAGCCCTTGCATGCAAGAGGAGCCCCTTGCACCCACACACCCCTTGCACTTGCTGGTCATGATCTAGCCCTAGTCAGTTAAGACATGCAAGGCCTTTTTAAGGTATGTAGGAAACATCAGAAGTATTTGGTGGCTATATGGTGTGGGTAACTGTCTTGACAAAATCAATGCAAACAAATCCATAACAAAGGCAGGAACTGAATTGAGGAGTCTAGTCCCTGCAGGGGGCTGAACTAGCTGACCTCTCGAAGTCCCTTCCAGTCCTACAATTCTAACTACATTCCCTCTCCATGGGAATGTAGTTACTTACTCATTGAAGACAAAGGGATACTCATCTAACGAAGGCTTTGAAATATCTGGTCATGTGCACGTATCAATCAGCTGGTGGAAGGGGAATTTAGATAGAAAAATACTATTGTAAGCAAATTGTTCTGGCTTTAAAGAGACATAATAAGTTATTTTAGGGGTCCTAATGCTTCCTTAAAAATGCTTTAATTTAATGGGGAAATACCTCCTGGATAAACAGTTTGTAATATTAAAATGCACTGTTGCTGAGAAATAAAACAAAAATATAGCCATATGTCTCTTTAAGTGCGACATATCAACAAATCACTTGATAGTGTTCTAGCACTCCGCCTACTGGCCTTCCAGCAGCAGCTAATGAACAAGAGGAACATAGTCTATCACCAGGACCTAACTGATTAGTCTGGTGTACGAACAAGAAAATGAAGCAAGTGATGGACAAAATTTGCACACACAAATGGGAAAGTTAGATGAACAGCTACAGATCTGAGTGTGCAAATGAGAGTGAAAGCAATATTCACCCGCACAAAAACAAGACTGTTTTGAACGTGTCTCTCTTAGGTTTTCCAAACCGTGACTTTGGAGCCCCTCAAAAAGTCAGCACAATCCTCTCTCTCTTTTGATAAGGCTGTTCCTTTAGCTACCAGCAGGCGTAAGCTATTATCCGCTGATGGAACTGCCGGTGGAGGGGAATATGATACTTTCTGACATGGTGCTACCTTGATTCGGCAAATAAAGCTGTGTAAACTGCATTAGCACAGCATTACCTTTTACCCCAAAGGCAAAAGATTACATTGTTTAAATAAAAAGAAAAGGAGTACTTGTGGCACCTTAGAGACTAACCAATTTATTTGAGCATGAGCTTTCGTGAGCTACAGCTCACTTCATCGGATGCATACCGTGGAAACTGCAGCAGACTTTATATATACACAGAGAATATGAAACAATACCTCCTCCCACCCCACTGTCCTGCTGGTAATAGCTTATCTAAAGTGATCATCAGGTGGGCCATTTCCAGCACAAATCCAGGTTTTCTCACCCTCCACCCCCCCCCCCCCACACACAAATTCACTCTCCTGTTGGTGCTAGCCCATCCAAAGTGACAACTCTTTACATAATCAAGTCGGGCTATTTCCTGCATAAATCCAACAAATTCACTCTCCTGCTGGTGGGAGGAGGTATTGTTTCATATTCTCTGTGTATTTATAAAGTCTGCTGCAGTTTCCACGGTATGCATCTGATGAAGTGAGCTGTAGCTCACGAAAGCTCATGCTCAAATAAATTTGTTAGTCTCTAAGGTGCCACAAGTACTCCTTTTCTTTTTGCGAATACAGACTAACACGGCTGTTACTCTGAAACCTGTCATTGTTTAAATACATTATGTCAACTGAATTAAAATCTTGGTTTACATGCATTTGCATGGCACATTTACATACCCATCGGGCTAAATAACACTCAGTTAAACCAAAGTAAAGCTAGAGTAACCCCAGCAGCTTTATCAAACCAACAGCATTGCTGCAGATTCGGAAAGCTAATGATGCTACTCGAGGCTTAGTCAGAGTAGAAATTGTCCCTTGCGATGTTAGACACAAGCTAAATAGAGATCAGACATTGCAAAGTCTTAGTATGCCCAGGTTGGTTCCTGCATGCACATGCACTCACTGCAAATGCTAGAGTATCACTAAGTTGAAAGGAAAGGACATGAGAAGCTTCCCCAACTTCTGCCTTTGTACACAGGCTGGTTTCAATCATATTCCTGCACTGTCTATGGTCAATGTCAACACAGACAGCCACAACAGCTTCCCAAAAGGCAGTGGTGAGGGGTGGGGTGATGCTGTGGCCAAACGCTCATACATTAGCATTCAGAAGTGGACCAGTGCGGTGGGGAGCACATGCCGCATCCTCTCAAAGGCGCTGTTCTTGGTCATCATTTCTGCTGCCTGCCCAGAGGCATTTTTCTTCCGCAGTCTTTGGGATCTCCAAGCAGGGGGTACAAACCGACTCCCAAAGCCTGTGGCTGAAAAGCCACTGGTTAGGGCAAAGTCTGTACACTTCATTTTCCAGGCGCTACAGGATGAGGGCAGTTAGGCTGATTGCCAGGGGCACAGGATAGCGGCACGCTGCAGGGCAACCGCATATTATTTATGACACAGGTTCTAATAATTTGCTGCACCAACTGGGGAACTCCCAGCAGTTTCCACCCGCAGCACACACCGGTTTTTCAGTGGTGACTATCTTTGCGGCCCACAAATATTTTCATCGAGCTGAATCAAACTCGGGCATACAAACATGAGTGGCTAGATTTTCAGCTGGTAAAAATTATTTAAGACAATGGAAGGAAATCATTTTAGACAATGGGCGGTATACCAATTTACCCCGGCTGAGAAGGGGGTCTGCGAGATTATTGGTTGGAATATTTTCAAATGTCCTGGGTTCTTTCCTATTTGAGTAGCCCTTCATTTTTACTTTCCTATAATGTGCAGCTTGACCAGAGATGGGAGGGTTGA